CTACTTGCATTTGGCTGAATTTCCTATGTTGCTATGAACCTACCAAAGTTTTATGATGAATTGAAATATGATGCTCCACGTTCAGCTATTCGTGGCCTTCATCTGACTAATCGCAATTTTTGACGAATATATACCTACGCAATCCACTGTTAACACTACTCTAAGCAGTCAAACAATGAACTATTTTCATAAGCTACTATTTCTGATCGCCTACCCTGTATAAAACTAGAACATTTGATTGTATGATCACCCTTCACGGGCGAGAGTGTGGATGTGGATGTGAATGTATTCTTGTATTGGCCATTCACCCAGACCCAGACCTGCACCCCACGTTCACAGTCCAGACTCAAACCCACATCCTCAAGATTTTCTTCGGCTCTGGTCGTTATAGGTCTACCACTACGTAGCCCATCGTCAGCTCCATCTGGTTCATCAAACTATTTTAGTAGTTAGTAAATCGCTTGTCGACTCGGTATTTTGTTCTTCAGATATTCATTTTAAAAAGCTACGATTACGATCTGATAAGTTTATCCTGATGTCCACCAATGCTTCAGAACAAAAATGCTTTGTTCTTTTGTCATGAATCTGAACAACTAAAGAATTCTGAATTGGAAATAAAAGTCACACATTAAAGAAGACTTACAACAAATGCATAAAACATACGTATACAGAAAATGTCTAATGACTATGAATAGTAGTAAAGCGAGAAGAAAAGGATTTCTATCATACATGCAAATAATATAGATGATGACAGAACTGATAAAAAGAATGCGAAGTAAAACTAAATGCAATGAAACAGCCCGTAGCAGTCAAAAGCTCGTGTGGTTATATTTTGATCGATTGATTCGCTTTTATCGCACATTGATTTTTTTCGTATCTGTGTAGTACCAACTTTTTCTCATTGATGTCAGTAATTCAACTCAACAAGACTTCTTTCTCTCATTGCTCTTAAGGATATAAAGCATCAATATGCTTCTATCACTGGGAAAAAAGTGAGGCCTTTTAGTCGAGCCATAAGGGAGATATTCGATTTTTCTTTACAGTCAAGTGACTTTTAGGTCGCCCTATAGTATAAATGGAATATCCTACTCTGAATACGTCAATGACCGCTAATGTTTAAAATTTTTTAATTTAGCAATGAGAGCTTTAATTTTCACTCTAACACATCTAATCTTGTTAACTAGCAACACAAACCTATTGATCCTTAGTGGAAAAGTGATATAGACATGCTTCGTTCATGATGCATTCGTCGGGAAGGATGAAGTCAGTTTCAAAAACGGTGAAAAGTAACCGTATCATCATCAGAGTAAAACGTTTACACTACCTGAATTTATGAAAGGTATTTGTTCCTGAAAATGTGCCCAAAGATCGTATATACTGAAATGACGCTGTAGGTATCTTTTTTCCTTTTCCAAAACATCATCTACTTATTTTCTTTTCCCAGTTGAAAAAAAAATATTATTTTTATATGAAAGAGAAGGTGGTTGGTTAAATTATTGGAGTTCATTGTGTATGTCATTTTTCTTTATTTTGTTTTGCATGCTATCAGATTGTTGATTTACAAAAGGGTTTACTTCATGTCATTTTTCTCATGTTAGATAGGAGAGATTGTAACAAGAATATTTTATTGCATTTTATTGTTTCCCTACCCTTGTGTGTCACTGTGCTACCAGCTGTTATCAAATAAAGTTCTACTAGGGTTGAGCATATAATTAAATTACGGCAAATCAATGACGACTTTTCTTTTTTTCTAGGTAATCGTCGTATATTGTCAGTCTGATTACATGAGTTCATACTTTGAATCTCTCTGTATCGAAGTTCTCTACAAAGGTTTTGAGGATGTGGGTGTAGGTGTGAGCGAGCGAGTGACTCTTCTCTGAACTCATACCCACACCCACACCTACCCATATCGATTTTGGGTGTGGGGTGTAGGTGTGTGGGTCTGGGTGGATGTGGGTGTGGGTGTGGATGTCCGTTAAGAGAAGACTAACACCCGCACCCACATTCACACCCACGCCCACACCTACACCCACACCCACACCCACACCCACACCCTAATTTTCAACATTTTGAAGAAAAGGAATTATTCGTGTACCAAAAATGACCTTCTTCGTAACGTCGAATACTGGTTGCGTTGAATTTTCCTTTTTTTAAAAGAAAAAGCTTGTTAGTGCAGCTTCTTTGGGGCTGAAATGTAGAACTCACGTATGTTCTTCAGCTTCATTATACTAATATGAAACGTAGAAAGTATAAAATCAAGAAATTCTAAGTTTTTTAATTTTCTGATAGGCGCCCTAATTTTTTGTTTTCATTGTTGCTATTCGCTCAGCATTTTCATTTTTCACAATTTTTTCTGTCTTAATTTTTTACTTTTTTTAATTACAATCACTGAATTAATTGGCAAATACGTCTGTTTTACATATCGTTTATATCCACAGCAGATCTTATGCACTATTATATATATTAACCCTCGGATGCTGGACGCATTTTATAACACGAAAGACGGATGTGGGTCCAGTTGGACCCACATGTGAATAAATAGGGAGAACTTGATTTTTTAATATTCTATGCAGACATGGATAAGTCAAGATCTGTATCATGATGCCTTTTTAGCTTGGCTACATCTGTATGAACTCTAGCCTATAAAAACGGTCACAATTTAAAGGGAATTTTTTTAAGGACATATTATGATAAAATTCCAATGTTAAAATATTAGTGAACAAAATATAGATATGACTACAACACAAACCAGTGAATATCTATACGTAGTTACCCAGATTAAAGAGAGATTTGTTTTTTCCTTCTTTATTTTATGTCTGAAAAATGCATAAAATACAATAAAATGAATATAATGCTATAAACTATTTTAGTTCTTTTTGAAAATTTCTTTTATTGTCTTTATATCAAATTTCATATTGTTGAGTTAATTTTTTCTACATGTGTGACAAATAACTGTTGTTTTGGTGATTGAGTGAGATTTGCAAACAAAGTTACTGCAGCTATCACAAATTTGTCGAATTTTGCGTCCAGGATGAGTTGGACAAAGGTAGCATCTTTTTTTTCTTTTCTCCAAATCATTAAATAAAGTCTAAATACGACAGTGGGCAGATATAATAAGGATTAAAATCATGTGTATAACACGAAAGCTGTTTGGGGGTCCGTGTGGATCCACCCTTCAGTTTATAGTCTTGTAAGACTCATTCGCAAAACTTAATATGCCTCTTATGTATCGTTAGGAGATTAACAATTAGAAAAAAGATCGTTCGGAAAAGGATAAGTTTTAAACGAGAAAAAAACAAAAAACAGTGTTGTGGGTCCGGTTGGACCCACAAACAGCGTCGAAGGGTTAATCAACTCACCAATAATAATGTTGATTATCTTACAAAATTATAACTTGATCGATTGTGCAAAAAACTATAGAAAGTCTAATGCCTGTTATTCTCGATTGCTAAGGTATGTAATGGGAGGTGTCTGTAATGGGTGGAGGGGGGAGCCGCCAAACCTCGAACTTAAAACTTACACTCACTATTTTCTTCGAAAATATATGTGAGTTCCACAAAAGTACACTATTAGAAATAACTTTACTTTGTATATTCTAGAGCTTTTCATGCTGCATCTTATAGTATATTCTGTTTTTCCTATGATACATATTAAAAATTGCGCCATAAGATGCAAACATGGCTGATTATCATAGGACACCTGTTACTTTATCACATCCTACAAAAAAAATCTTCTCTTAGTTCTAGGTTATGGATCTTTGTTATAGCTTTGGCTATACTTCAGTTGTGATGTGAAATTGAACACATCTAGAAAACAACAACTATCATCGTCGGTTGAGCAAAACTGTTGACATATGTTTTGAATTAACAAATGACGTCAATAATAACAGTGGAAACAACACATTACTCGTTCTCTGAGAGTCTGCCACCAATATTGCTATGAAGACTATTCTCAAACTTTCTATGACCGTTTTGACATGAGACAACAAACCGAAATTAGTCGAAGATCTATATTATGCTGATAAGCATCTGTTTTAATGATTAAAAACAATATTAAAGGAAACAGAATGAATATTCATTGATAAACGTCACGATATGACTCAGCTTGCTTGTGTTACATAAACCCATAGAAGTTTCTTATGAAAAATAAAGTGCAAAAAATGTGGCTATTTCTTTGAGAGTGAGGATAATTGACACGAAAAAGAATTTACGATGCTCATAGTTTGAATGAGTTCAACTCTTCATATCGCTTTTGGTTTCAGTTACGATTATCATTTATACAAGCATAGAGAACCACAACAATTCGTCGATCGCCGAAAAGAATCGTCGCCAAGATCTGGAGTTTGCCGAGCGATGACAGAAACAAGACATGTTATTGGCGCGTGATCAACAAGAAAAAGAGACGCTAGTCAATTATCTCAACTCTCTTAATAAACTTTTGGCAGCAAATGAACAACTACAAAGTTCCAATAGTCAGCACATTGTTTGATTCATAACACTTGGATGTGGGGTGTGTGGGTGTGGGTGTGGGTGTAAGTAAACAGAAGACCAACACCCACACCCTTATGTTTCTGCCATTGATGAAAAGAATCATTATTTAATTGTAGCTGAA